ATATATATGGCTTTGTGGTTAAATCTTTCTTGAATGATATTTGTATCTTTATCTTGTCTGTACAAATGTAGAGGTAAACGACTCAGCAAAGAAGGGGTTAAAGAGTCAATGTCAAACCTTACATACTGGTGTCGGCAGGGATGTCACTGTCATACAATATACTGTTCATAAAATATCCCCTCATCCCCACCTCGTTTACACTACACACAAACACCAAATAAATTTCAAAGCCTTTCACAATTTTACTACAGAACTTTAAAGTATTTTTAATTTTACCACTCTCCTGTGAAGTCATTGAATCTACTGAATGACAAGTTCTCAACAAAGCTCAGTTGTTAAAGAAGCAGCACCAACATTTTGACATAGTTTGTCCATACCAGTACAAGGTTCCAGATAAACGAACATGAGAATAAAGGAAAAAACGGTTCACATAAAAAAGAAAAAAAATAATGTTTAAAAATGCCCAAAAAAACCTGTAATGATCATATGCGCTTCCATAATCCTTTGAGCCCTACCCCTCCCCTCCATGTGTCCATTGTGCATAGAAGTGTAAAGATAGTCATACTCATGTGGCTGTAACTGAATATGTTTTACACCTTGATAGATGCAATTCAGATCATTTAGAAGGGAGGCTGCCTCTACCCTACTTATCAGGGTCTACACAATCAAAGAGGGATACAACATCTCAGCAGACAGACGGAGATACTCAAAAGATACCTCCCCACGCAGGAATAAAACTCACATCTTCAACATGAGACGATGAAGTGCGCTACCGCTACACCACAGACACCAGTGCACAACTCATCTTTTTTAACATATTATTATATAACACTCATACACAAGCATCAAAAGTAAACTCTTTCAGAATTTCCTGAGACAAACCAAGTTAACATTTTTAACATTTAACACTTTTAACTTTTGTAAATGTTAACCTTTAGGTCTAGCTAAGCAGCATCTTTTTTAGCTGACATTCAAACCTTTCTTCCTTGCACGCGCACGCACGCACACATGCACGCACGCGCACACACACACACACACAAACACAAACAAATCTCTGATTTTGAGAGATCAATCGGTCTTGAGAGCAATGAGAAATTAAGAACCAAAAAAATGAAACAAATCAATAAAGACAGCACAGGTTAAATTCGCCGTTCATGATTCATAAGTTTAGTAACAACAATTACTTGCATATCATCAAATACCAAACATTTCATAATTTATTCCGCATTTTGGGTTGTAACATATTTAAACATCAGTGGTCCCTATGAGATTGCATACATTTCTACAAATCAGCAACCAAAAACATTTATAATTTTCAAGAAAGCCTTTCTTTTCTTTCAGCAAAATCAGCACAAAAAAACCAAAAAATCTATTTAATAAACCAGCAAACAAACCCGTTCCCCACACATTTTTCTAAACAAGAAACAGATTTTCACTCATAAAAACATTCATAATCTCACGAGCGCACACAGCTCAACTTCCACCCCCTGCTTGCCCTGAGTCACTTTCATCATCCTCAAAGTCATCTCCATCCTCGTCCTCCTCATCGTCGTCGTCATCCTCTCCGTCCATCAGCTCTTCCTCTCCCACCCCCCCAGGGTTCAGCTGGAGAACGTGCTCAAACTGGGCACAGACGCGGTCGAAGTGCGAGCCTTCCCAGTACACCTTGCCACACACCACACAGACAAAGAACTCCTTGATGTTGGAGAAAGCCTCTTGTTTGGGAACTGTCTCCACCTAGAAATGACAAAACACAAAAAGAGTGGCGTTCAGTAAAACAAAAAACAGATATAAGAGCAGAAAAAAAAAAAGACAAAAAAAAAAAAGAAAGGGAAAAAAGAGTTGAGAAAAAAAAACAGTCAAAGAAAACAAAGAATAGAGGAAGTGAAAATGGAGAAGAGAAAAGGAAGAAACGATGAGAATGGGGGTCCAGCCATAGACAGGGATAGATCTTGTTAGTGCGATAGTGTCTGCGCATGTGTAATGCCGCTTGCACTGTAAGCATCTCGAAAAGCCTAGAATCTATTTGAGTGTTCTAGGATCTGCTGTTTGTTTTTAGTTAAGTTTTACGGCGCTCGTACCTACATAAGGTCAAATGAGCGCCAAGGGGTAGATGTCAACAGAGAAGTTTAAACAGGGAATCAGGCTTACTCTGTTCATCTCTCTAGCCTCAACTACAGCCTAAAGTCTGCTTCAACTATGAGGGCACCCCGGAAATAGCAGTTCACAAGAGAGTGACAAACATACAAAAGAAGTAGATGAAAAATGACATAGTAAGGATGAGGAAAGTAAAAGCAGCAGTGCCCCTATGTTGTTCCGGCACAGTATGAGCATGACATTGATAAATCAGCCTATATATGCAATTCTACTGTGCATAAGAACATGTTAATATGTTAATATCCCCCCTTTGAGAATGGCCTAAAGACACTTCAGTCAGTAGCACTGCCCGGTGGGGGGGCTAGGATCTGCTGGGATAACAATAGTTGTAAAGCGCACAAAGCATGCTGCAGTGTAGATATATGCACCAATAAATGCAATTATTATTATGAAATAAAATGACAAAAAGCGAAAATTAAAAAAAGAAAGAAAAAAAAAACAGAAGTGGAAAAAGGGAAGAGTAAATGGTAAGAAAATATGTATAAAAGTCACTCCACAGTACTTTTATACTATTTATAGATATTTATTGAAGACCAGCAGATCAACCGAAGCAGTGATCCTTTTACAAAAAGAATACTTTCTTTCATTAACAAGGTGACAGCATCCCATCTTCAATATGATTTGTTGATGTGAGCCTTCACAAAAAAGAAAACCAAAAACACACCTGAATGCGCACGCGGTTGTGCAGGAAGGAGATGGTGGCCGCGTCGATGCCGTGCTCCAAGAACCTTGACCTCGTGTCCTGATCGAGCTCGTAGAGCGACACGCCTCCGCTGGCCCCGGCCAACAGCCAGTGCTGCTGCTTCTGCAGGTTGTAGATGTAGAGACTCTC